AAAGGTGATTTTCTCAATATTTGGATTTTTTTTTGCACCCTCAGATTCCAGATTTTCAAATAGTTGTATCTTGGCCAGATATTGTTCTATCCTAACAAACCATACATCAGTGAAAAGCTTATTTATTCAGCTTTCAGATGATGCATTAATCTCAATTTTGAAAAATTAACCCTTATGACTGTTTTTTTGCTCCAGGGTCACATATTAACATATTTTAATAAATTAAGATTACATGGAATTAAATGTACTATATAATAAATTATTTAAATAAATATATTTATATTTATATAGTTTTATAATTTATTTATTTTATTCTTTATTAAATATCTATAATATAATCAATTGAATTCACATGCAATTTAACATACTGTTTAATAAATTATTTACAAAATGCATTTAAATAAATATATTTAAATATATAAATAATAAAATAAAGCGATTTAAATTGTAATTCAATTACTACACTGAAAAAAAAAATAATACAATTTTTTTTTAAGGTAAGTGGTTGCAAACAATTTATTTTAGCTACATTTAAAAAATAAAAACATGTTGAAAGTTAGTCAACTAAATGTGTTTGTTTAAATGTAGCTAAAATAAATTGATTGCAACCACTTACCTTTGAGTAAAATTGAGTAAATTCAATTATTTTTTTTTTTTTTTCAGTGATATGCTTATGTGTTGGGTCTAGATTTATTTAGAGATTTGTTGTGTAAATAAACATTTATGATATCATTAAACAGATTACTTAAATTACTATTTAATAAATTAAGTTTACATAGAACTGAATATACTTTTAATAAATGATTTACGAAAAGCATTATTATGCATTCAATATGTTGGTTCTCCATTCATTTAGAGATTCAATGTGTAAATATGCTTAAACATATTTTAATGTATTAAGTTTAAATACTATTTAATAAATTGAGAAACATTTAAGCAATTTAATCATTATGCAATTACATTTTAGTTAAATTATTATGCTTCATACATTGATTTGCGATTTATTGTGTAAGTATATGTATATTTATTTATCATGATTAATGACAGAAAACGCTGTGATTGACGTTAAGTGGACGGCGCTGGTGTGAGACTCACGTGGAGTTGTCGAAGTTGTTCACCTGTCCAGGTGCTTCGCCAGGTGTGGGGGAACTCACACACGGGTTCTGTATGTTACACAGCATGCCCTGTAGCCATGGCAACACACCTGCCGATGGGAGGGGCTTATTGGGGTAGTGGCCTGAGAGGAAGCACAGATTCACAATTACTGTTTTTTTAGTTTTATGCTTCATGCTTGCAAATCATAATCCTGATGTCGTTCAAGCAATTCAGCAGCAGTAGTAATTGATTTGAATCATTTTGACGAAGCAAGATATTTTAGTTTTTGATAAATCACCAAAACTTCACTAAACGTTATTTGTACTGCACGACATCCAAAAAAAACGCAAGAAGATTTTTAGTTTTCTAACTTCGGATATGAAACAAAGTCTAACCTTGAACTCAACCTTGAAATTCAAAGGATAAATGTTGTATTTGGTGCACTTTAATGTTTTATATATTAATTATATGTTACATGACGAACCTGTAATTAAAGCCATTTAAATGTATTATCTATACATTAATTGTTTTATCTTTGTATATTTATATTTCAACAATGAACTGGAATTGAAACATAATTATATCATTAAAACATTGACATGAAAACTGCATTAAGTGCAATTTAAATACTTATTTATTTGATTTGAGTGTTGATTGCTAAACAAATTTAAATAATTGATTTGGTTTTTGCTAAATTCAAAGTTTCATTTCGGTTTTGGTGTTTCAGTGAAATAATGAATTTTGGTTCATCACTACAACAGATTCTCTCTTTCTCTTCACTTCCTGACAAACGCTTATTTCGCTCTAATGTAACATGTGCATTAGGTGTGTAACTATAGCTTTTTCAAGTGTTTTATCGTTCGTGTGGAGCCTGTCACCTCACAGATCCACTGAACAAGTATTTTCTGCCGATATAAATCAATATTCTTCACAAAATGCACCTGTCAAAACTTACACAGAGTCGTGGATCAAAGAAAGTTTACTGCAGGTAAATATATTAAGAACTTCAGAACATTTAATAAATGTTTTCCATGAAAAAAAATAACATGCGTGTAATGTTGCTGGGAGCAACTGAAGTCGAGCAATACTCACACTGGCTTTTATAAACCGGAAGATTGGTGGATCTGACCGACACGAGAATGATGAACAGGAACAGAGGCCAAACCAACTCCACCAGCAAACGCACCTGAGAGAGAAACACAGAGACGCTTCACAACACCTCACTCGTCCTGAGCAGAGCTTGTGCTTTTATACGTCTTCGATTCTGTCTAAACCATATCAGTCTCCTCAAAAACCCTTAAACGTTTCTGACAGCTAGAACAAACCCATGAGATCCTGAATCTCTGACAGTCCACCGAACCGTCTGATCAATAACATTCTCAATATGCAAAGCTCCAATCTATGAAATCGATTAAAAAACGAGGTAACTGTGACTTTTAACCAGTTAAACTCTGCGGACCCGGATACGGGTCCAAAATGACGTAAAAAATGTTTATGCTTCATTTACATAGCCTTCCTTATATGGTATCAGCCCATATATGGGTTCATTTGAAAGCTTGGAGTGTCTTCTTTACAAAGAATACCATTCCTTTTGGTTTTTATATTCATAAAGCAGTAAAATTAAGCTTAGAAATGTATTCGTCCCACACACGAATTTCCGCCTAACCATTGCGAATAATTTTTACGAAGAATGTGTATTTTATATATTTTTCACAAAAAAGTCAAGTCATATATCACAAGAAAGCTCTCATTCTCAGGAATTTGACGATGTAGATTATTTCATTCCCTGAGCTTAAGTTTAAGTAAATAAATAAATCAGTCGCTGGGCCATCAGGATTTCTCCCAGTGCTCCTGATGGCCAATCCCGGCCTGGTGAAACGGTATGTAAGAAATAATAATTTTGTGAATGTAATATGTGATTTTGTGCATCAAAATGAATACGAAATGGAATCTGCAGACTCCAGAGGAATTCTGAGGGGAAAAAAGGGCGTAAAGAGATGTAAAACTGAAAAATGCATGATAAGAATTCAGAATCGTAAAAAAAATTAAGTAATTTTGCACGATACAGACTCGCGATTCTGAGAGGGTTAGTTCAAACTGCAAAATCAAAATTGTGTGAAACTATGAGAAATAAAATCAGAATTAACTGCTATAAATCAAATTGAAAGACATATAGTGTTCAAATTTGAATTTCGAGGCATTAAATCAAAACAATTGTGAGATATCGACTTGGAATTGTCGGAAATTAAATAAGAGTTGCGCATTTATACACTTGCAATTTTGAGGAAAAAAAAACATTCAAAGTGCGAAAAGTTAACTCAAAATCGCAATGAATAAACTCTAAACTGTGAGAATTACAATACGAATTGAGCATAATCTCTGTTCAAAGTTCAAAAGCTTGTGCTTTTATGCATCTTTGATTTTGTGTTGATGGTTTAGTTGTGCAATAACAGAATCAAAGATGTTAACTCAAAATATGAGACATAAATCTGAACTGCTAGAAATAAAATCATAATTTTGTGTTAAAGGGGTCATATGATGCGATTTCAAGTTTTCCTTTCTCTTTGGAGTGTTACAAGCTCTTGGTGCATAAAGAAGATCTGTAAAGTTGCAAAGGCAAAAGTCTCAAATTCAAAGAGATATTCTTTATTAAAGTTAAGAGTCAGCCACACCTACCTAAAATGGCTCGTTCTAACACGCCCCCACATGTCTACATCACTATGTGGAAATATTAGCATAATGCCGCCCATTTGCCCTTTCAGGCTTGAACTGATGGTAAAACTAACGACATTATTAACTGTCTTGATATTTACTTTGAAAGCTGACGCTCGCGATTATGGTAAGGGGTTCCGACGCGTGCTTGTGGTGTTCGGCCAATCACAATGCACTGGGTCAGCTGGCCAATCAGAGCAGACTGCGCTTATCAAAGGAGGAGGCTTTGTTGAAAACAACGTGTTTGAGAGAGGAGGGGCATAGAGGACCGAATTGCAGGATGTTACCTGAAATTTGCCAGAAATAAAGTCAGAATGTTGAGACAAAAAGTCGCAATTACCTTTTTTATTCCGAGGCTGAACATTTGTGAGGTATGTGCCAACAAATCCTTTTTTTTTTTCAAAGCACAAACCCTACACAACACATTTAACTCTACACAGCCTTTACATGACCCACTCAATCTGAGATTCAGCTCAGCATCAAACCGAATGAGGGAGCTGGAGCTTAAAAACTTTCCAACAAACACATTGCGGTTGTGGTTTTTTGAGATGATATTGATTTATTTGGTGTAAGTGACAGTAGTTTTGACACTCGACAGCAGTCTACAAACATGGTGCTGAAGGGGAGAAAGAACTATTGCTGTGTTTTAGCGTTTGGAAATTAAAAGAGGCTGATTTGAACAGCAGGTGTGTGACAGCGTGTTGTGTAAGGACTTTGCAGAGGTCTGAAAGGGAAAGTGTGTTCTGTCTGCTCCATTATTTATACTGTAGAAGTCTGCAGGCGGAATGAGAGAGAATACTAGTGTGTGTGTGTGTTGGTTCAAGACTCAGAGAGAATTACAAATAAAGCACTGTGTGAATATGCATATGTATGTATATACACAGCAATTTTCCTCTAAGTTTGAATCATAGCGTTGAGAAGTTTAATCGTTTTAGCTAACTGATGTTAGACATAATATTGCCAGTTGTTTGGTCTGTTTTGCTTCACCAATTCAAATATTTCCAGCAAAACTTCTGGATACCGATCAACACTTAATGGTGTTTCGTTCCTGAATGAATCACGGTTTTTGAACGAATCAGGTGAATGAATGATTAAAAAAAAATTCATAATTGACCTAATATCATTCCCATCGTGCCCAGCAGAGTTTTTCTGCTAAAATATATTTATAATTTTAAAATAAACAACTGTGTTTGCATTAAAGCAAAGGAATAGTATTACATTTAAAATTAACTGAAGTTTTAATTTAAGTGTAAATGACATTCTGCGTGCGACTCTCAGCATGTGTTTTATTATTTTTCAGCTGTGCACAAAAGTCAACACACAAGATGACACAGTCTTTCAATAGAACGGGAAGACAAGACCAATCACAATTCACTACGCAAACACACAAATATTACAAATGACATCATCGCTGCCCGTTACATTTGGAATGCTGAACGTTCCATTAACGCATGTCTGAACGTTTGAATCGAGTCTGTGAGTTAAGAGGTTTACGTTGAATGAATTGCTGAAGAAAGTAGACCTATATTTATATATTTGAAATATTTAGGGGTTTGGATCAAACTCAACCCAGAATGTTTGATGAATATCAGCACAGTGCTGCCTTGAAATCGACTGATTTATAGACCATCTGTCAAACGGTTTGATCAAATAAATAGAATCTGTTCAAAACAATCACTGTGTGAATAACTGAATCACACTCCAGGTGTTTAGGGGTTTGAAAACACACACAAACACACACACACACACACACACACACACACGTGTGTATGTGTGTGTCTGTGTCTGTGCGCTATTTTCACATCCTTCTTTAAGAGGAATGAAAAAGCTTTAATCCTTTCATATTTTGTCCTGTCCTTCACTTTTGTCCAAGGACTCAGCAGCAAAAATAGGGGAGAGAAATATAGCATGACAAAGATGGAAAAGAGAGAGCGAGTCTTTATCTAGGGTTCACTCACTCCATTAGAGTCTGCTGGAGGATTTACCTCAGTTATCAAAGAGAAAATCCAGCAGAAGAGGACAGGCTCTCTTTCTCTCTCTCTCTCTGGTAAGGTGACCTGCTCATGACAGGCTCAGTGATTCTGTAAAACCCTCTTGTGTTCAAGATTGCCCCTTTTTCACCATCAAGATGCCAGTTCTGGTGCTGTTCTGTGGCAAAAAATAAATCAATAAATGGCTCCACACCAGCCACTAAAACCTGCTTTTCTTGCACTAGGAGCCACACACAAACATTAGAGACTGCAGCGGTGGGATGATCTCTTCACCACATTAGGGTTATAAACCAACAAAAACTCAAGATGGAAAGACTAGAAGTTTAAACTCATGCAATTAAAATATGCATTTGCGACAACAAAGCGAGTGGAGATTAGTGTTACACAAGTGATCTGATTGAAAATCATGCCTGAAATTGTCAGTTTTCTGAGTGAGTTTCATTCATCTTGTTCATCGTATGCTATCACATACGTATATATATATATATATATATAGACACTGAGACACTGATGCAATGCTACATTTCTCCAAATCTGATGAAGAAACAAATTCATCTTAATCTTGGATGGCCGGAGGGTGAGGACATTTTCAGCACATTTTCATTTTGGGTAAATTATTCCTTTAAGCAAGCCATCCTGATTATGTGTGATTTTCTAGGTAATGCAAACAGGAGAACGGATGAATCACCAGTTGGCTCCCCGAATTATGTATTCATGGATTAAAATTTGCATAGCTTTTATTGTAAGTTTAATGCATTTTTATGGCAATTATGTTGCATTTAGTTTGGATTTATATCACAATATTGGAGAGCGATATCACAGCTCTGATTAAAGTGCTCTCTACAGCTGAACTGCCTTCATGGACTCATGGAAATGCAAATTCTGAACATTTATTATCCATCAAGACTTTGATGTTGTGAAGTTTGGCTGAGGATCAGATGAAGTCTAAAGTTACTGTACTTAGAGATTTGCTCTGTCTGCCAGTCAACCGAGTCGATCTGAACGAGAGCCGCTGTTCTGCAGAAGCACAGTTTGGCGACATGACAAGATTCTCAACTAAATCATCTGTAAGATCTTTGTTTTTGGCAGAAAATTCACAATGGAAGACTGTTTGAACAAAAACACAAAGTGTTCACTGCTGTAAACAGTAGCACAACACAGACATACACAGATGTTATCTCTGTTCCTAACCGAGTGAACGGCCCTGCTGTCTACTGCAGCGTCCTTAAAAATGACTGATTTGACGGTAATATTGTGAAATAGCTGTTTTCTATGTGAATATCTGTTCAAATGTAATTTATTCCTGTGATCAAAGCTGTATTTTCAGCATCATTACTCCAGTCTTCAGTGTCACATGATCTTCAGAAATCATTCTAATATTCTGATTTGCTGCTCAATAAACATTCCTGATTATTATCAATGTTGAAAGCAGTTGTGCTGCCGAATATTTTTGTGGAAACCATGATACATTTTATTTTTCAGGATTCTTTGATGAAGGTCAAAAGAGCAGCATTTATTTGAAATAGAAATATCTCATTACACTTTGTATTAATTTCCTTCTAGAAAAAAATAAAAATAAATACAAATATTTTTTATGGACTTTTGGCAGGTTTAAGGTTTTTTTCAGATCGATTCAAACTGGTAACTAGTAAGATCTCAATTTTTTTTCTGCCACAGAAAAAAAAAAAAAAAATAATAATATATATATATAAAGTCTATAT